TTTTCCCTTGGGGAGAGATATTTTCTTGGTTTCTTATGTTTCTTGTGCCTCTGGTTTCTCACTGTTCTTGATTTCTGATGTTTCTTGTGCCTCTAGCTTCTGGTCATCTGATGGATTATACATTTCTTTCTAATTTCTTAGAGTTAATTTTGAGCATTCAAAGGCATACGGGAGGATGTGATCTGTGATCTCTTTGTGGCCCGTCTCCCTGACACTCACCTGTAACCTGCACTTTTGTTGCTTGGACTGAATGTCCCAAATGCCTCCCAGATTCTAGAGGACAGATGCACCTGGGGCTGAACCGTGGAGTTTTGACTAGGGAAGAAAGTATGGCACATTACCTTCAGAAAACTATCAAGTTTGTAATGAATGGGAGAGGGTGGAAATTCCAAGGTGGTCTTTGACCTTGGTTCTCTCACTCGCTTCTGCCACACACAGGAGCCAGGAAGAATCTTGCATGGATATTTAATGAATACCCAGGATAGCACAGCACATATGAAGGTGTAAATTGATCACAGAAACAGCATGCTAATAAAATCAAGTTTGTGTTTCAGCTTTCTGTAGACCGAGGAGGCAGAACACTCTTACTCCATTCCCTGCCTTCATTCCCCTCCTGGCTCTGCCTTTCTGTTACCTCCTTTCTTCCCCATATGTCAAGTAGGGGCAATGATTTGCTTTCTGCCTTTTATGTCCTCTAAGTACCTCACTTCTCCATAAGGACTTTCCTGAGTAATTAATGATAAGATCATCATTTTTCCTAAGTACTTTACTCGTGCTTGTGGATACCCTTATCGGGTGCTTCTCCAGCTTCCATGGGTATGAAAATCCACGAGGGATCCTATGAAAACACAGACCTGGTGTTTCTTACTTCCCTTTTCTTTTTTTCTTTTTAGAGAGATTTTTGCTATAGGACACATGTGCTTGCCAGAGGGATAGAGACAGAGAGACAAAAAGGAAGAAATAATCTCCCCTCCTGGGGGGATGGCCAACCTGTAATGAGGGGGGAAGGAATTGCAGGGTGGCCATCACCCCCGCTTTTCCTCTTGGGATTTTAGGCAGGCACGTACACACATGTGCCCAGCATGATTTTGAAGCCACTGAGTCCAGGACTCAGATCCCAGTAGGCCATGTGTGAGTCCAGCAATGTAAACATGCACCATCTGCTGGTCCCCAGAACTAATGTTTTTACTCTGCCCCCAGGTGAGGCAGAGGCTCCTGAGGCAGGGACCACATTTAGAATGGCAAGAATCTTGTACTAAACTGACAGTTCCCAACCCAAGCTTACCATTATAGGTATCTGGGCAACTATTTTGGGGGGGAGGTGGGAGATGATGCATGCTCAAGAAATTAGTGTGTTTTCCTTTTTACCAGCCTCCAGGCTGGGACTCAAACCACACAGTAAAAGCCATGTGGGAAGCAGCCACCTTAACCTCCACACAATCAGCTGGCCTGCTGGAAAACTTTTTTTTAGAATGATTTTATTTTACTGTATTTATTTATTTAAATTTGACCAGAGAGGGACAGAGTGAGAGAGAGAGAAAAAGTGAGAAAGCAAGCCGCAAGGTCTGGGATTCGAACCATGGTCAGGAATGTGGGACTCCAACATCCTTAACCACCACACCACCTGCTGGTCCCACTGCTGGGAAACTTTTAAAAAATGGTTTCCCAAAACTCACACTAGACTTATCCTATCATAATCTCTGAAAGCAGAGCCTGGGAACTGACATTTCTAGAAGATATCTCTCTCTCTCTCTCTTTCTCTCTGGTGTTTGTTTGTTTGTTTTTAGAGAGAGAGGATTTTTGCTATAGGCCGTGTGTGCTTGCTGGAGAGACAGAAAAACAGAAAGCAAGAAATCACTCCCTGGGTGATGGCCACACTGCAATCCCTTCTCCTCCATTCTCCTTTCCAGATTTTGGGTGCGTGCACACACACACACACATGTGCTTGGTGTGAGTTGTAAGCCGCTGAGTCTGGGACTCAAACTGCACTTGACCGTGGGAATTCAGTGACGTACTATTACACCATTTGCTGGTCCCAGAGGATCTCTTGAAACACTCTCCCCATCAGCAATATCCAAGTTAATGTTTAGGTGTTTTACAAAGGGTTATAACTGAATTAAGACCCTTGCGGGCTGTTGCCAACCTACACTGATGATGATGTATTTCATGCTCAGGCCAGATTCCAAGAACTGTACCTTCTCACATAACAACAGGACCAAAGCAGATGGGAAAATGATCTAAGACAATCTTGTGATGTTAATACCTTATTTACATGTACTTATACATCTCTTAAGATGATCATAGTACTTGCCAGAAGCCCTAATTGAGACATTTTACTTCAACGCGATTTAAAAATGAACGCTTCGATGTATATTTTACAAGAAGTTCCTATTTGTAATTACAAGTGTCCTGCATGTTCTGGGGCCCACCTGTGTGTCTCAGTCTACGTCTTCAAGCCACCTTGGCTCTTGGCCCAATTTGAGAGAGGTCAGTGCTTTAAAGGTCCCTGCCTTACCTCCAGAGAAGGGGGTAGAGGCTGAGAAAAAGACTTAGGCAGAAGAAAATCCCCAAATTAGAATACCCTTCTAAGCTACAAAAACACTTTTTAAAATTTTCCAAATTTTCTATGGTAGAAACTGAAGGACTCATGGGACCAGCAGTAGGCATAGTGGCTATGTCGCTGGACTCCCATGTAGTCGACCATGGTTCAAGTCCTGGACCCGGTGGCTTAAACTCATGCCAGGTGCGTGTGCGTGCGTCCCCAAGATCCCGAGAGGAGAATGGAGGAGAAGGGATTGCAGCGTGGCCATCCCCCCTGGGGAGTGATTTCTCGCTTTCTGTCTCTCTGTCTCTCTCTTTCTGGCGAGCGCACACGCCCTATAACAAAAACCTCTCCAAAAAAAGAAAAAGAAAAAACCTGAAGGACTCAAAAGCATAGAAATAGAGACAATAATGGTGGGTACCAGGAGAGGCTTGGGGGAGGGCAGGGGGTGGGGACATTCATTAGTAAATGTGTAATGGACACAAGAATGTGTGTAAATAAGGAGGAGAGGCTACAGGGTGTGTATCACATAGAAAAGACATATGGACAAATTAAAACATGTTTTTAAAAACTAATAGTGCTATAACAAATGTGCACAACATAAATGTTCAATGTTGAAGAAGATGAATGTGGGTATATCCTTGATTTGATTATCATACTCTGTATGTAGGCCTTAAAAAATACAAGGATGTACATTGATTACAGAACACTAGGAATACTCATTTAAGGAGGGACTAGCAGGTGGCATGGTGGTAGGGGCACTAGACTCCCACATAGCCAATCATGGTTCAAGTTCCAGACCTGGTGGCTTGCTTTCTCACTTTCCTGCTCTCTGTCTCACTCTGGTCAAATTTAAAAATAATACTAGTATTAAATGAAATTAAATAATCTTTTTAAACACACACATATTTAAAGAAAAAGAGATTTCCAAAAGTGCATAGCAGAGAGCCGTGTTTGTGGACTGTGCCCGTTGCAGGCATGGTCCATCCAGTGTGACTGAGAAACAACTCTGGGTTCAATGGGAGGGTCAGATGGGTCAACAGGGCTGCTGAGAAAACTTGGAAAGTTCTTCTGGGGGAGAGGGCGAAGGAGGTCCAAAGGGCAGAGCCTTTCTTCCTGCCTAGCACCTGCTCAGAGGTATGCTGTGTCTTTAGTGAAATGTGCCTCCAGTTTGAGAAGACAAGTGAGTTTTGCTCAAGTTGGGGGGCACCTGCTTGGGACTTCACTGATTGGTCC